GGGGTAGCTCAGTTGATAGAGCATCAGACTCTCAAGGGACTCTGAGGGTCCAGAGTTTGAGCCTGTGTTTGGGAAAAAAAGAAAAAAGACATTGTCCTTTAGGACAACAGCACGGAAGAGCTCTGTGTGTATAAAAAGGTTCCGGAGCTCTTCCAACGGCCATCGTGGAGGTTTTAGTCGGTAAAAATCCGACACTACCTGGAGTCTTCCCTTAAAAGACTCAGGTGTCTTATGAAGATTTCCTCCACGTAAAAAAAAAAAAAAATGGTTACGCGAAACAAAACGTTGTGGACATGTTAGGCAGACTTTGTTCGTGGAAAACTATATTTTTAAATAACTTTGGTCGTAAAACGATAAAATTAAAGTAATCTTAATAATTCTTTTCAAAAGACAACGATTGTTCGATTTAGTGAAAGAAGACTTTGCTCGGAAGTTATGTATATAAGATAATAAAAGTCATCATGCTACACGATTCGTTCGACCTGTTTAAAAACGACTTTTCACAGTTGACGTTGTATAATGATGTTTAAAAATGTTTACACTCGTTACAAACACACTATAAATATCCATTCGATGCGCTCGATCATTCGCTCGGCCCACGTGAATTATAGCTTGTAAAATGTAAAAATGAAATGCAAGTTTCTCAATGTAATCAAAAACGGACCACGTCTAGATAAAATAACAATTATCAATTTACATAACGGAATCGCGAGACTTGTGAAATTGAATTTCATTTCAATCGTCAGTCAGATGACTTCGAGACGAAATGCGTAGAACCCGCGTGGGACGTTTCGATATTGCTGCAATTTGAAAAGCCGTTTCCCCTTTGCCACGTGAATAAAATCAATAAAACGAGTGTCGCCCTGTCTACGATCACAAAACGTGACAAAAAAAAAAAAAGAAAAGCTGTTGCAATTGTTCGCCGATGACTCACTCTTTGATGTCCTCTACTGCGAGTGAAAAAAGTCGAGGCTGGGGCGGCGGGCTTGTGGCAGCATCACTAGAAAACTCACTGTTCCTGCTTAGGATCTTTTGCCTAAGTACGTGATTCTCAAGCGCGAGCCTCTCGACCACATCAGCGTAGCTCTCGCCAGAAAAATCGCCGACGCTCTCCTTAAGACGGCGGAGTTCCTCCCGTGATGAATCCAGCGCGGAGCGCAGCGATATCACAGTCTGAAAAGGATCATCATATTGAGAGAGATCACTTGCCCATCGTTGTATGCCATCGGTCAGATATTAATAATTCTTACGGCAAGGATCGATAAGATGACTTTCTACGACGAGATTATAAACGACGCGAATGGAATAAATTTCGAGGCTGGCTTGAACGCAACGTTCACTCTGTTAAAAGCGACCGCTCGAATTCTTTTATGAAAACCGAAAGAAAAAGTGAGACTTTAAATGGCTTGAGAACTTGAAAGCTAAAGTCAAGGAAATAAGATGTCAAGAATTACTAAGATTTAAGAAATCTTTCTTGATAAGATGTTGAGAATTTAAGAACTAATGCTGAGAAAACAACATGCGAGTCAATTGATTTATGCAGATCTTTGTCAGATTGAAATAAATGTATTTCGATAAATACACGCTGAACGACGATCTCGGGCCAGTACTTTCGAATAAAAAACTTCGCTTTCATCTAGGAATATGTAAACCTTACAGACGAACAGGGTATCGCATCAAGTAAAATTAACTTTCCACAATTGAGTCAGTTAGGCAAATTTACTTAGGTAACATTGTTCCCTTATGTCAACGAAATGAATCGAGGAATTATTAGAAATCACCACGCGCAATTACCGATTATACTTTCGATTTAATACGCCGTGTATATATTTAATGATTAGATCTTGATGAGCATACCCGTGCATTGAAATTACCGAATGATCAATGCTTCTTTAATTTACTCAAATTATCCGAAAGTATCGCGATTAGTGTCTTCAAGATGGATATCCAGAAAATCAATCGAGAGGTCGGGGATTCATATCAGCGAATCCGCGAATTAACAATAATATCTGTGATCACGAAGTTAATGATGCTTTCTACGCTTTCTACGACGGATGGAACCTCGGAAGATGAAAACGGATCTAGGACGCTTGGATGGATCGAGGATGGATCGAAATTTTTAATTAAAAACTTATTAAGAAATTTTATAACGCACTGTGTGTTACTTAGTATACTTTGGTGTTACCTAGTATAATTTTTAATTA